CTCCTGCCATGCCATGGGTTACATTGTTACCCATAGTGCCTCTCTTCTTCAGTGACTTAATCTTAATCTCCTTTAGATTTGTCATTCTCAGTACACCCTATCTTCATCCCTATTATGACATCCAGTGCCTAGACACCACCATTTTTTTCTAGGTTCATCAGTTCCCTCCTGGCCTTACTTTTTTTTTGCCTACCTAAATGTCACTCTTCCAGTCCTCTTAGCTCTTCACCCCTATATTTCTCCTACAACCCATCTCTTCACTCTTCTGACTAGAAAGTGACATTCGTGCAGATTGCCTCACCAGAGTCTGCTCATTCATTTTTATTCTTGTCTTTGGTTGGCTCCCTTTGCCACCCTGTCAGCAGTCAGACAGATCTTTGCCCCCTCCTCAACCTTCTGCCTACATCCTGCCCCCTCCACTCCTGGAGATGGCTTTTCTAACCTCCTTCACTGAGAAAGCAGAAGCCAATGGGCGTGAACTGTACTTTTATACTCATTTCTGTCTCCTCTATCTTGCCTCCCATCCTCCACCCCCATGTACACTACTCACCTCCTTTCTTCTCTTCTCAGAGGAAGTGAATCTCTCCTCCTGTTCAGCCCCCCAGTGAATCTCTCCTCCTGTTCAGCCCCCCATTGTCCGAGCTCCCTCATCATCTCTCATCTGTTACTCCCCTTAGCTAGATCCATGTCCGAAGCCAAGAAACACATTCCAGTCTGTCCCATCCCCATCCAGATCTCTTCAAGGAAAAAACAAATCCTTTGACTTATTTTATACCAGTGGTTCTCAACCTTCCTAATGCCGCGACACAGTTCCTCATGTTGTGGTGACCCCCAACCATAAAATTATTTTCGTTGCTACTTCATAACTGTAATTTTGCTACTGTTATGAATCGTAATGTAAATATCTGATATGCAGGATGTATTTTCATTGTTACAAATTGAACATAATTAAAGCATAGTGATTAATCACAAAAACAATATGTAATTATATATGTGTTTTCCGATGGTCTTAGGCGACCCCTGTGAAAGGGTCGTTCGACCCTCAAAGGGGTCGAGACCCACAGGTTGAGAACCACTGTTTTATACACTGACATGTATATCCCCACCTTCACCTTCCCTCCCTTTTCCCCTTCTCATCCAGGTTTCACCAAGCCTCTCCTTCACTCTCTAGCCCATTCCATTTGTCTTCTGTTCCTATCATCCTGCTGACATGGTGACTTCCTAATTCCCAAGTCCAATCCACTCACCTCTTCCTGCCTCTCCAGCCATTCCTTCTCAGTGTCCTATCTCTGCTTCCTCTCCCAGCCCCTCACATGCTGTTGGCTCTCAGGGTTTCACCCTTGGCCACCCTCTCTTTGTACCCTGATTAAGCTCATATATTCCACCCATTGGGGGATGATTCCCAAGGTCCTAAATCTCTTTGAGTCCCACCTCTCAGTTGAACTTCCAACTAGTATAGCCAACCTGCAGATATCCAACATTTGTCACACCAAAATTGAATTCATCGTCTTTCCTTATAAATCTTCTTCTGTTGCAGTCAGTGGTGCCACCATCTACCCAGACGCCCAAGCAAAAAACTGGTATTCCAGTTGAATTGCTCTTCCTCCTTTATCCATTAGAGCTAATCAGTTAGAGTCCTTGAAGTCTGCGTCACCAACATTTCTTTGAATAGTCACTTGTTTCCTTCTCCACAACCACTGCATTAGTCAAGATCTTTATCATCCCTCCCTTGGACTATTATAGTAGCCTCTTCAATAGTCTGCCCACCTTACTCATGGTTCCCTTTACTCCATCCTTTATGCCTTCCATTTTTCACCCAAATACATTAATATTTGCCTAAAATGGCCATGTCTAAGACTATATTCCCATTTTTTAAGGGTTGCATTGTAGGCTTTAGTCAAGAGCATTTGTAAGATGGGAGGCCCTCAGGTCACCCATAGTTCTCCTGCCTGACTCCCTTTTGCTCCACTTCATCACTGAGCAGCTCTACAGATGGTTCTGGAAGACATAAGAATACATTTAACATAATCCACTTTCTTTGGTTTTGATGATAGAGAGCCCCCCATGGCTTTGGACACTTTTTCTAAACCTGGATATATCCTAGAACATTGGTCTTCTCCTCTCTTCTCTCTTCTCTCTCTCTGTCCCCACAATCTGCTCAAAGCGTGCTCCCTTCTCCCCAGAAAGATGCACACGTGCAAACACGATTTGGCATGAGTGCCAGGGTTTTCACTGAGCCCCTGAAGCCCATCCATGGGGTGATGGCTCTTGTTTGTGGGCAAATCTAAACAGTCTCCAGATCATCCACTGGTTTCCATCTAAAACCAAGAGGAAGAGTCATTTGATTTCCCAAGACATTTTGAAAACTCCTGGAGCATTTTTATAGCACATTTTGGAATATAATGACGTCTCCTCCAATGACACTTTGAACATTGTCTGACTAAAACGCTAAAAACAATTTCAAACTTGCATTTCTTGGCTCAGTGGAGTCAAGTTTCTCCATACCCACAGCCTCTATAGAAGCTGCTCGGAACCACTTCGTTTCTCACCCGATTTCCAAGCCTGACTCCCCCGTCGGCTGTCAGGCTGTGACTGCTTTTCCTCTCTTCCTTGGTCATTTCAGAAGCCTCCCCAGGACCCTAGCCTCTGAACCCTCTCCTGCACAACTCAGGCCAGCACCCGCTCTGCTGGCCCAGCAGCCCAGGGAGGAGGCAAAAAGGAGCAGGCACCCAGGCCCTGGCCTCCCTTCGGGGCCTTTTGTAGGGTGAGAGCCTATGTCAGGGACACTCCACATCTTCAAGTGAGTCTAAGCTTCCTCTTCTGCAGTCCAGCGGCTGGCCAATGAGGTAACAGCGGGGATTGACCTTCCCTGCCCACAGAATGTGCCGTTTCCACAGGGGACATGAGGGCATGAGGTGATGACTCTACCCCAGGCGTGGGGTGGGTCTTCAGCAGCCCACACCCCCGGCACTGGGCACGAAGAGGGCCGCCTCCTTACTTAGCATCCAGCACATGCCCGAGTTCACAGGCCTCTCCTTGGGGTTCCTGTCGTCACTCTCTCTTCCTTGGCACAGCTTCTCTCCTGCTCTCGAAGCCCAAGCTAGTCCACCGTCCTCTCTCTGGATTATCCAATTCGTTTGCTCTCTTGCCAGGCTCCCTCCTTAAATTTCTTGCCCAATGGAAGCTCTCCTGCTCCTTGGTCTCCCTGGAAGTCTTCAAAGCCCCCCTTGCCCCAGGAGGCCCCTTTGTGTCTGGGTTCCTTCCACCTCCAACCCCCACCCCTCACCTCCAACTCTTAACCTTTCTGAGTGTCCCTGCTGATTCCCAATGGCACTCACCTTCCTCGCTCTCCCTCCCATCCTGTGTGCCGTGGGAACAGCCAGCTACAAAGACTTCATTGGCCTGAACTGTGAGGGAATGCTCTCATGCGCTCCACTCTTTCCCACCTCAGCACAGCTTTCCAGGGTCACATTTCCAGGGGCCCCTGAGGCTGGGAGGATTTAGATCCACTGAAAAATGCTAACCCTCAGCGTTCGGCGGTGTTGGAAATGTTTGGCAGTCCCTCCCATGTCTGATGTGACAAACACTGTGTAGAGATGCCCGGAGAGAAGCCTTTAATGCTTGTATTGTGTTTTAACTTGCTTTCCTTTGGAGGCAGGGAATTGTCAAGTAAGTACTCACAGCACCCTGCCAAAGCGGTGTTCGCTGAGCATCCAGCGCTAAGCGTTCACGCAGAGCCCACCTCCGCCAGGGGTCTAGACTCAGTCCGCTGAGTTTGCCACTACGCAGGTGTCTCCCTTTTGCCCCCTCACCTTCGGTGTTGAGGCGATGCAGCTGTAAACATGTGCTTGTGAATACGAAGGAACATTCTGAGATTGCTTTACTTTTCTGTTTTTAACTGAAAATCAAGGTGAAAAAAAGCATCCTCGGGGTTGCCGCTGCGTGTGTACATATATATATATACAGTCTAATGTATATATTAATACACAGTGTCTGTGCTTGTATGCATACTCTATACACACTGTATAATATGTGCCATATTATACAACCCTGTGTACCCTGAAGACCAGCCCTGCGTTGAATCTCAGATTCTGCCCTATGAACCATGCTGCAGTCCCAGCGTCCCCGTGCGCCCATCTCAGACCCTGGCTTGCTTTTGTCATCAATGAAACCTTCTTAGGGGAAAGAAGAAACCCACGGATTTCATTTGAAAGTCCCACTAAAACAGAAGAAAGAGCAGATGTCCTGGGAAGTGATAATTAGTGTGCAGGAAGTGTCTCATTGCGAGAACTGGCAAGCCCCGGCCTCCTGGTTTCGCCCCATTTGGCGGCGATGACGTCAGCCGGGGGTGTCACTTTGCAGAGATGTGCTCGCTACCCGTTCTTCGGTGCTGATGATAATACCATGGGATCCAGCGATCATGTATGGTTACATAACATGTTTTGATTGAAGAGTTTCTGAGAAAATAAAGGTAGCTTGTTTGTTTTCCCCCCCGGCACAGAGATGCAAGCCGTTCCAGCAGGCAAGCTGCCCTACCAAGAAACACGGGGAATTATTAGGCTAAATTATGAGTTGAACTTGATTCGAAAACAAAGCATCCATTGTGCATAACGCCCAGTGCCATCCAGGAGGACGGGGTTGTTTTTCTGACAAACGCTTGTCCCCAGCACACTCGCAAACCAGCAGCGTCCCCAGGCGCATTCGCAAGGCCCCGGAGAGCGCGTGGGAAGCATTGACAAGGCTTCCTTTTTTCTCCCCGTTCTGTAGGCGCTTTAGTGCAGAGTTTGCCCAGAGACGCCAGGGTATGAGCTTTCTGAATTTGTAGACGGGTGCACTCTTTCATTTGTTTTAGTTCTTTGCTGGCATGCCCGGGAAGCATGGTTTGTGCCACACAGGAATGTCTGTTCACTTGGAAAGTGCTTGTGCATGAATGAGGTGCTTGCTAATGCGACTCTAAACTGTACTAAGTTTCTCACTTGGCTTTGTTTGCTGCTTCCAAGGGGATCAAGGTAATCCTTTCTCTTCACCTAACCCAAGAGCAATAACTAATGGATTCGGAACGTGCGGCGGTGCTGGTGCGGGTCTCCCCTACCCATCCGTGGTTTCCCAAACTCCAATAGGTCGATTTAAAGGAGCCCCAGGTTACCCAAAATTGGCCGAGAATCCATGAGGGCTCACCCATGATAAAATCTCCTAAGTAAGTGGAGAGGCCCAGATCTCCAAAACTGAGGAGGGAAAAGCAACCTCTGCTGTGAAGGTAGCAGTGGAACTAGACCAGAGCCTGCGGGATGGAGCAGGGTGGTTCTCTGTTTTTGACCCCTTGCTTCCTGCTGGCCCTCTTGTGTGGTGAGAATCACCTGAGGCCATGGCTCCCAGGCCGGGCTGGTGAGTCCCACTGCTCCCCATGCTGTGATTTTCACTACCTAACTCTGAACGATTTTGATGGGTCCTGTCTGAAAATGGCGGAAGCACGGCCTCTACCTTCTCAAGCTCAGGCTCCTCTTTTGGTGTTAAAGTCAGCCATTGGCTCACGTGGATTTCCCAGCCCCTGGGAGGGAGGGACTGACCCCCGATGACCACCTCAGTGCCTGCGAACCGAGGTCCCATCATGCAGGACCCTTAATGTCAGAAGCTTTTCAGGGGGTGGGTGGAGGTGGGCAAGGGGGGAGGACTGAATAAGCCTAGGTGGAGGGTCCTCTGAGGGGGTGGGGGGAGAAAGGAGCCACGCCCAACAAGCAAGCTTGCTGCCTTTGGTCAACACTGTTTCTCCTGGCCACTCTCTGTTCCAGACCGCCCGTCAGCAGAGCAGCTCCCCAGCCTGAGAAACTCCAGAAGAACAACATCACCAAGAAAAAGAAACTGGTTGAGGTGAGGAGGTTAAACACTTGCGTTTAACCGGATATTGATGTTCTGACACCTGGCGGACATCATCTGCAGGTCCCTTCAAGGGAACCTGGATGGATCCAATGGGTCTCGTTCCTTCTCCCTCCTACACAGCATTGTGTTCCCCATCCCACTGTCACATTCCCTCAGCCCTGCCTCTGGTCCTATCAGTACTAACTTCAGAATGTCCCATGTCCTTCAAATCTGGTTCCTTTTTCCTATACTGGGTACCCCTAGGGGAGAGCGGGAGTTTATTCACTGTCTGTTTTTTGAGCACTCACCCTGCACCGGGTACTATGCTTCACACCTAGGGGGTAAGTACTTTCATTGTTTCCATTTTGCAAATGAGCACATGAGCTCAGGGCATTTCAGTGACCTGTTAGGCCCCCTGCCCAAGGTCACCAAGCCAGTAAGTGGCGAGGGGTGTGGACTCAGTGGTTGAGACTTGGGATGGTGGCGCTGGTAACCACCTGTTTTCTGGGCGAGGCCTCCTAATGTTCTTCCTGTCTTTGGACCCCCGTCCCTCTCATGCCCTGATGCCCTATCAGCTCTTTGAAAGATAACTTCACGTTTCACCCTGGCGTTGAGACCCAGTTGATTCCCACATCCCGGCCGATTGGGATTCAAATGAATGGGTTCAGAACTTTACCAGGCGCTACCGTTCAAGCTCATCTCCTGTCATTCTCACTGTAACATAAGTCTCCGCTCCCACCCCTATTGCCTAGTGGTCCTGAAGCTGCCTTGGGCTTTTACGCCCCTGATTAGAACGTCTCAAGCCCCATTCAGATTGGAAGCTCCTCCTCCTCCTGCCCTAAACCTTGGTCCTTCCAGGCTCTTTGCTGACGTCTTCTCTTTCCTGATGCTCTTCACTCTGAACCCTCCTGCACCCAGCCTGCTCCCTGCCACACACCCTGCTGCCATTATTTGTGGCTCAGTGGTCTCCCGTACTGGACTTTGAACTCATGGAGGCCAGAAAAATCCATCTTCAAACTTATTGGAAAAGGAGTTCACTGGGGGGATTTCTCATGGAACCCAGCACAGGTCAGGAAATACACCCGAGCTTCAGTAGAGACCAGATCCAGGAGCTGAAAAGCCATCATCAGCCAAGATGGTGCCTTCGTCTACCCAACTGTGTGTCTGACTCAGTCTCCTCTTTTTCTGCAGACTTTTTTAACTGCTTTGGTGGACTTTGGGAGAAGTCCACTAAATTCCTGGGAGAAACCATGTGATTGGCCCAGCTTGAGTCAGTTGTCCACTAGGACTGGGGGTTACATAATTACACACACATAGTTCTGGGAAACACAAGGGGGTGAGGGTGGGGGTGGCGGGGGAGAGACTGAGGGCTGGGCAGACATTCAGTAAGTTAAAAGGAGGAGAAGACGAGAGATATTTTTAAAAGCAAAATCATAAAGATAGGAACACTCATGGTACATGGCTAACTAGATAAGTCAGCCTGAGCAAGGAGTACAGGAGATGTGTGTAGGGGCTCATTGTGCCAACGTAAGGAATTTGGGCTTTTCCCCATAGGCAGTGAGAGTTAGCAGATGCTGTTGAGTAAGGACATGGTGTGGTGCTTTAGGAGAATTAATCTGATGTCCGAAATTGGTGAGCTTTGGAGAAAGAAAAGGCCAGAATCAGAGATCATGGAAAAATGGAACTCACCTCTTCTTACTCATTTCCCACCAACCAGCATCGCGCCTGGCACAGAGGCACTGCCAACAATACATGTGCGTCAGATTGAATTAGGAGCTCGTCTGATCCAACTCAGCCACTGCTCTTTGTCATGGGAGACAAGACAGGAAGAAGAGAAAGACTGTAAACCCAGAACAGTATCTAGTTGTTGAGAAAAAAAAATGCAAATTCTGTAGAAACTTTGTAGGGCGTGCACCCAGCAACAGAATGAGCGTGGCATTTGCCTCCCTGTTCTGCTCTGCCAGGCCCAGCTGTGTGTGTGGGAATCAGAGCAAATCTCGGAGCCACCATTCAGCTCCCCTACGAGTGCCTGCCAAGGCGCAGACAGACGTCTAGGTAACCTTTATAGGGCATCAAACCCATAGACTTTGGCTCACCTGAGGAGCTGGGAAGCAAATCTAGTTTGTTTAGAAAACTCACTATAATTCTAGGTGTTAGCCTGTGCCCCTAGCATTCCAGGCAGTTAAAAAAAAGGGGGATGGGGTGGGGGGCTGCATTTTATCCGCAGCTGGACAAGCAGCAGAATGTTTTTAGCGCGAGGTTGGCTGTTTCCCGGGCCCTGCAGTCCCATGAGAGGCATGGCTGCGCCTGCAGTGCGGGCTGTGCCTCTAAGGGCCGCTTTCATCTCTGTGTGGGGGTGTAGGAGCTGGCTCTCGACCACGTGTTTGGCTACCGAGGATTTGACTGTCGCAATAACCTGCATTACCTGAACGAGGGTGCCGACATCATCTTCCACACCGCGGCGGCCGGCGTCGTCCAGAACCTCTCCACAGGTGACCGAGCCCCGAGAAACCGCCTCTGACTACAGGCCTTTGTTTTAGCCTTTCTGTGCACGGGCCCACATTTAGGTGCCCCACAGCGTAAGCATCCTCTTCCCTTTAAAGCCATTCCTCTATTCCAGACTGGTATCCTTTAGTCCTAGAAAATGGGCAGGCTCATGCTAGAAGTGTCAAATGTGTCAAGGTCAGGAGAGGTGTCCAAGGTGCTATCAGCTCCCGGGAGGCTGACAGGGATGGAGAGAAGCCAGAAAGAGGGCGTGGGGAATAGAGAGATTCCAAGGCCTAGGGGAGCTTTCCTCACTCATTTTTAACTGTGACCAATTTTTTAGCAGCTCAGATTTTCAAGTTTTGCTTGTTGTGACGATGTAGCTAGGTTTACAGTGAGAATGAGAATACTTAAACACTAAACAAAAATACCCAAAACTTAACTATATGACTCTTACATTAAAAAGTTTAAAAAGAGACACAAAGTGCAAAAAGAATTCTTCAGAAATTAATTTAATAGACACCCATAGCTTTACCACCAGATTTACATGTTAATATTTTGCCTTATTTGCTTCATATCTTAAAACCTTTTATTGCTTTTCAAATTTTTATGTTCTTCCCAATTGGTGTAGTTGCCCATGCATAGGTTTTTAGGCAGTGAAATCACTGGGCACATAGTGACTTGTCTTTTGGGGGGGAAGGAGGGCCTTGAAATTTTCTGTGAATTTTCTCCATTTTCTAGCCTCTCGTTCTTATTTTAATAGTGATGTGCTGTTTCCTTGTATGTCAATCATTCACCTTCCATTCCCAGGCATGAGGGTAGGTTTACAGTGGCCACTTTGACCATCAGCCTCCTCATTCTGGACTCTGGAAGCCCCTGCACTTGGACTGTGCTCTGGGCCCACACGGGACAGCAGGAAGGATCGAATGGAGCTGACGTGTGTTACATAAGACACCAGCTCCTCTCTCAGATCGGAAACAGACTATGTACATGTGAAAAGTGATCTCCTGTCTCCCCAGGGCTGATTCATTTCACAGGGCATTTCCAAAGACGCCGCACGGAGCTGTGGGCTGGCCCTGAGGTCTTCAGGCTCCCCCGCTCACCCTCCACGTCTCTCTCCCAGGGAGCCAGAGCTTCTACCTGGAGCACACGGACGACATCCTCTGCCTCACGGTGAACCAGCACCCCAAGTACAGGAACGTGGTGGCCACCAGCCAGATAGGTAGGCGGGTCCTGGTGCAGCCGAGCTCCTCCACGCTGAGCAGGAATGTTGGGAGAGGGCAGGGTGGGTCACTGACGCCCACCCCTTCTTGTTGACGTTGCTGTTGATTTTTTGAGCCCCGAATGCCTCTGAGTTGCTTGGGTTAACACATCCAGTGATTGGCGGTTCTGAGGAACTATAAAGTCAGACCATAGCTGATTTCCCGATCACTGCATGCCCCCGTCCCTGTGGACCGGTGAGATTTTTCAAACCCAGGGGATCAAATGAAGAGCCTCCTGTCTGAAGCCTGGTGGTTGTGCTTGGTCAGGAGAGAGTCCGGTGTGTGTCCCCGGGTCTTCTGTGCCTGGGAAACTGCCAATGACCAATGGGAACTGACTCACGTTTGTGAAAAGCATGTGTGTGTGTTTTTTAGCTTTGTCATCTCAAGGCAGTTTTTACAAACATACCTTCCTGCTTGTCTTCATTGAGCCATGTCCATTTTTACATTTAATTTGAAACTTTCTGATGCTGGTGCTGAGTGCTTCACTATTTGAAACGTGACTGACTTTAGCTGTTGTTTTCCCCCGACGCTTCCTCATTGCCATTGCCCACCTAACGCAGGTGACCTTGCGGAGACCCCAGGTAAGGCTGTTCCATCGTGAGTAGTTTGCACAGCAAAGTCATGCCGCTGCGTCATGTTTGCTGGTTGTATCTGGCTGAGTCGCAGATACAAAGCGTTGACCTCATCCGTCTCCTTCTTGCGACCCCTCCACCGGTGTGCGCGTTGGGCGTACGTGCCCTTAGTCCCTGTCTCTACGAGCCCAGCAGATGCTTGCTGTTGTCTTCGCCTCTGGCAGGTCAGGCTGTAGGTCCCTCAGGCCCAGTCGCCGAAAGGCCCCTGAACGCTGGTCTTAAAGACTTTTACACGAACGCAGGTGTTGCCTTGTCTCGGCCGTTCTCCAGCCTGAGCTCTCTGTCATGCCTCCCGCATGCAGGAACAACACCTTCCATCCACGTCTGGGACGCCATGACCAAGCACACCCTCTCCATGCTGCGGTGCTTCCACTCAAAGGGAGTGAATTACATCAACTTCAGCGCAACCGGGAAGCTGCTGGTGTCGGTGGGCGTGGACCCCGAGCACACCATCACCGTCTGGCGCTGGCAGGAAGGTAACCGAAACAGGGCTTTCTGTCCATGCGGGGGGCGCGCTTGCGGCCTGGGCTGGGCTCGATCTGCCTCCCTGCCAAGCCCAGGAGGCCCGGCCGCTGGGGCAGCAGATCCCAGGGCTCTTGGGATCCTGGAGAAGCTGCCCATTGGACGCTCTGGGTCCTGGACCCCACGGCAGAGAGGGCT